ATGATCTTTAAAAAAGCATCATATGACCCCTTTAAAAAAGAAAAATGAAAATAAAATAAGACTTATTTTAGGTGAATATAGTTATACTGTTATTCTATTAGTTATAGATAACTGAGAACCATAACAAACATTTTCATGCTTGAAATAAAATAAACATTAACTGAAATCAGATAATATATTTTAATATATGAAAATCTGGATATGTAGTAGGCAGTGTGACTGAATCGAATCGGTAACTCACCAAGCTCTGCCAGGTTGCCAAAGGCAATGAGGCACATCTCGGTGAGCGCTGTGTTTTGAGAATGAACTCCCAGCAGTCTGACCAGTGTTGGGATCACACCCATGCTGATCAGCTGAGCCTGCAGCGAGTCTAGAAAGGAAAGACAAAACGGGAGATTCTCTTTATTCTGGTTCATGCAGATCTTTTTCAGACAACATAGATAATAGTCATTTACATTAATGGTTAAGTATTACGTATTCATCATTCTTCTGGCAATTACATTGCAATAAAGTGAGTTTATCCAAACATAATTTTTATACTTTATATACATCATTTTTTTATAGAGTTAAAAAATACTTCATACTTCAATATCAAATGTCACAGACAAAAATGTGATTTTTACAATGAATAAAACTGTGTTAGCTTGCTATCCTCCACCACTGTCATCAAAAATAAGTTTGTATCAGTGTTGTTATCGATAACTACAAGTGAAACTAAAACTATTAAACATCATTTTGGTAAATTAAATAAAGATTACATAAAATATTAATATTAAAAAAACAGCAAAATGAAAACACAAACGAAAATGAGAAATTAACTCAAATATGGTACATTTAGTAAATTACTAAAACTAAAATGAATTAAAGCTATATAGATTTTTTTTAATTAACTAATTTAAAAAAATGACAAAAGCACATAAAATTGCTAAAATTAAAATTAAAACTAAAAAAATTTTAAAAATCAAGCTAATTCAAAATGTTTAATGAACTAATTCACTGATATCCACTCAGAGCTTAAGGTGTAGTTGTTTTCCAAAATACATTACTTTTTTTTTTAAATTAGCACTCATCAAATTTTCTTTTTTTAAATGTACATGATTTAATTTCTTCAGCAAGCCTTCTAAAACTACATTATGTAAAATAGGCTTTCAAATGAAAGTCAAAAATTAATCACTTGTTATGAGTGATTTCAACATTGTTTCTATCATGCAATGCCTGAAAACAGGCTGCAGGCTGAAAGAGCTAATTTACCAGCTCAAATACAGACCGTACATAAAATGCAGCCACATTATATATTGCTCTGAGATTTCATTTTTGTAAAGTACTTTGCTGAGACTAGCACAGAAAATATAGTCCTGACCTGAAAATGTGAAAGATAAATCAAGACCACAGTGGAGCAAAGTACTGCTTAGCCACACATTTCATGTACATACACGGGCCCTTCACCCCTGAAAATACTGGGTTCAACCACACTTGTTTTCCAGCAGAAATATCCAAATGTCTTAAGAATTAAGCTTGCATCAAATTTTTATATCATTTATAGAGAATATCTTATTTGTAATTTTTGACAGACATCAACACATACATCACCAGGGCGATATATTGGCTGATATTTGGCCTTTTTAAATTATCAGCATCGCCCTATAAGTTTGGCTGATAAATGTTGGAAGCAGTTTTTTTATTTTGGCAGCAGATATTTTGACTACGAGTACACGAACATAAACTCTAGAGCTGCTCTGAGAGTCACTTCATGAGCATTTTACAGTTTCTTTTGAGAAAAACTATCATCATATCAAACAGAAACTTAAAGGTCTTCATAGCAACCCATCAAAATAAAAGTTCGGGTTAACTTGAAGAAACTGTGACAGAAATATATTACTTATTACTACTACTAATAAAATTATTATTAAAACATTATTTTTAAGGAATATTTACCAGAATTTATTTAGTAGAACATGGTAAATGCACAACACAGTATTTCTGAAAAAAAGATAAATAAATAAAATAATAATATATATTTTTTAATAAAAATCAATTAATTAGAGATGCTTTTGATTATTACAATTTAATAATTATAATAATAATAATAATAATAATAATAAAGTTTAATTTATATAGCGCCTTTAAAGAAACCATTAATATGGAATCCAGAAAATTTAAACATTTAACAGGGACTTAAAATACTTTTTTTGTTAAAATTTAATAAAATGCTGTTAAATTGTGTAAGTTTCATGATTTTAATTAATTAGACATGCTTTTTGATTAATACAATTTAATTTAACCATTAAAACGGAGTCTAGAAAAATTTTAACGGAAAATAACAGAAACCAGAAAAATTTAAATGGAAAAAATGGAATTTGGGGGAAAAAAACCCATTTCATAGTGCCTTATATGCTGCACTATATACAATTTGCCACTTTGTCATCTGTCACTGTGTACTGTAAAGTAAAATTACTGTTACATGGACTTTATTTCAGAAAATGTAAAAAAAAAAAAAAATTTGGCTGAAAACTACTTTTTTTTATATCCGCTTTTAACACTTTTTTTTTTTCTCTCTAAGATGTCGGTATATATGCTGCACTATATACAATTTGCCACTTTGTCATCTTTCACTGTGTACTGTAAAGTAAAATTACTGTTACATGGACTTTATTTCAGAAAATGTAAAAAAAAAAAACAATATTGGCTGACAACTACTTATTTTAATATCGGCTTTAATCACTTTATTTATTGCTCTCTAAGATATCGGTATAGGCCATTAAAAAAATCAATATCGAATCAATAGCCATTCACACAGAACGCATATTCAGCGCATTTTTTAGACAGACAAATATGACTGCTGCTCTCACATCTCACACAAGAGATGTATAGAAAGCCATGCAAAGGTAAAACAGTTTAAACTTTTAGAAAACGCGTCACGAATTTGTGTTTTAAAGGCAATCTGTGTGATGGGCGATTCGGCTCTTTGTATTAAGCAATGCATAAATACATGATGCTGTTTTGTTCATAATTGTTTATGCAATTTACGAAATAATGTTTGATTATATGAGTTCATTTAAATGTAATGCACGTTTTTCTTTTTATAGACAGTTATTTCCTTTGCGTTGGCAATTTAATGCGCTGCATTATTTTGCTCATTGCGCCCTCCTGTGGCCTCGGGAGACGAGCCAAAAGTTTCCTTCAGACCTATTTAATCTGCATATAAAACATTATTTTATTAACATATTTGTTTAATTTTCATTTTGCGTTTGACTGTTAAAACAAAAAATATTTGTTGGCTCAGCCCTAGTATAGGCCATAAAAAAAATCAATATTGGGTGACAACTACTTATTGTAATATTGTTTTTTATCGCCCATTAGTCACCCTGCTCTCTAAGAAATCAGTATAGGCCATAAAAAAAAAATCGATATCGGTTGACAACTACTTATTTTAATATCCGCTTTATATCGCCCATCGGCAACCCTGATCTCTAAAATATCGCTATCAGCCATTAAGAAAAATCATTATCAGTCGACCACTACTTATTTTTAGTAGTCGACCTATATGGGTTTTTTGACAGCCGATGCCGATGCCGATGCCGATATCTTGGAAAGCAAGGTAGCCGATGGCCGATATAAAGCCGATATAATTTTATTTATATTTAAGAAATTTGAAATAATTTGAAAATGGATTAAAAATAATTGTGTAAATTAAACATACTTATACTTTAGAAGACAAAGCATTTTTCACAAATAAATAAATATTTAATAAAAATTGAATTAAAAAGGAAGTAAACACTAACACTGTAACCAACAGCGCACTCAGTATTGAGTTTGTGTGCATTGGGAATCTTTTTTTTTTTTTTCTTCAAATAAAGCCATGGTAACACTTATTTTACATACAGCACGCAATGAAAATTGAATATGACAACCAACAGCGCACTCAGTATTGAGTTTGTGTGCATTGGGAATCTTTTTTTTTTTTTTCTTCAAATAAAGCCATGGTAACACTTATTTTACATACAGCACGCAATGAAAATGACATGAATATGACAGTGGGCAAATGCATAAAGTGCAGCATAATATGAAATCACTAGTTTAAAGTTTGTCGATCCTGCGTCTCTAGTCAAGCAGAACTCTCCTTCTGTCAGCATTCAATTCATCTGGGAAGGTTTTGTTGATTGGGAATCTTTTTTTTTTTTTTCTTCAAATAAAGCCATGGTAACACTTATTTTACATACAGCACGCAATGAAAATGACATGAATATGACAGTGGGCAAATGCATAAAGTGCAGCATAATGTGAAATCACTAGTTTAAAGTTTGTCGATCCTGCGTCTCTAGTCAAGCAGAACTCTCCTTCTGTCAGTATTCAATTCACACAGACCGACCGTCACGCAGAGAACACGCGATCATGCAGGATACAAATGCACACTTCACAAGATCTCAACTAGATTCGACTAAGTCTGCAAGGTTTGTGAGATTAAATGTTCATTAGTCATTCAAAGATTTGTTTAAATTATATAAATGCGTATTTGCTGAATGCTGACGGCAAACGAGAAAGTATTATAATGTTTGCCTTTCTATTACTAATAATATTAAAGCAATTGTTATAATACTTTTTTGTATATATATTTTTTTATTTGTATATAATTCCTTTGTTTAACAGTTCTATCTGATTACTATATAGACTTCTATCCATATTAGACAGAATTGAACGACGACAGCGAACAAGAGGGAGAATGTGAGCGGTGTGTTCTCAGGCGCAATAAAAGTCAAAATAAAAGTCCCGCCTTGAACACATCGGCCAAACAGAAAAACTTATCGGCCAATGCCGATATTTGAAAAATTCCAAATATCGGCCGATATATCGGTCGACCACTACTTATTTTAATCTTAAAGCTCACTAAATGTATCATTTTATGACTTGTTTATGTTTAATGACAATAATATTTTGCAATGCTGTACAATTAAGCCCTTAAATACCCAGTTAAAAGATGTTTCAGTTTGTCTAGAAATATCTCAATGACACACCACGATGTGGGCGGCACCGGCACACATCTGGTGCCATTAATTTGTCAGGAAGCAGATGTTGATCAGTAAATTCAATGAAGCAAAGAGGAGACGGCAGCTGAGACAGCAGAGAGCTGTGTTAAAGAAGACGGCCCAGGCAGAGGAAAACATCCACAGTTGAAAAAGGAGAAAATGTTATTGAGTATGAGAGACCATGGAAGCAGAGTTTAGTACAAAAAATTGTACAAAACACATTTATGCAACAGAAGTCCCTTCATCACATTTAATAACCAGTTGACAGTCCAAAATGCTTCTTCCCTAATACAAAATTGCTTGTTATTTGCTTTATCGACCACAGAAGCTTTGCTGGTCTGAGCAAGAGGAGCATTTGAGCAACAGCTATTGGCTAAATGTATCAAATGAGAAAACACAACATAACAAACCTTGGCAGAACTGGATGTTTGCCAGAAATCATAGAGGAACTCTTGCCAGTAACCCAAGCCCAAATCACGTCAAGGAAATGTCAACCGGGGACCTGCAGATCTCACTGATGGAGAATGAGTCACGTTTCCTAAAAGAACTGTGAAGTATCTGCATCTCATCTGAAGCTCATTTAAGATTTAAATGCTTAGGTGCTTTAATTTCCAGTAAAGCGGAGAGCTATAAACACTGACAGTTTACAAACAGCAAAACTCGGCCATTACAAAACTCGATTATACTGAATAACTAGTGACTTTACTCTTTACGATATAAATAATACATAAACACATGCAATTAAAAGGATAATCCCTTCCCTGGATGCTGAGTGGTCAATATTAAAGAATATTATTTTAAAGAATTATTTCCGTAATAATTACTCTTTTTAAAAGTATGATAAAGTGTGCTTCTTCTTCACAAAGGAATGAATCAGCAATGAAAGGCATTACGGTTCAGAAAGTATTTTGGTTGCAGATATACATTGAAAAGCAGACAAAAAAAAGTAACATCTGACCAGGCATGTACAGTGAAAGATGTACATAAAAAAGCTCCAAAATGATTAGCTTATGTGATTAGATGAGTCATTTATCTTGGTGGCTTAGTAAACATGATGACAGGCTTTAAGTTAAAACAGATACACTTTGCAAGGAACACCAATCTGTTACAAGACACAACATTTGAGAGAAAGAGAGATGAGGAAAAGAAAAAGACTGGTTCAAAACAGCGTGAGGATGATATTCAGCAATAATAAGCAGCCCACTGGCTGTTCTCTTCCATTAAAATCATATCTCACCATTCATTTTCATCAGGAAACCGAAACCGCCTGACCTAAATTTGTTGATTTGCACTAGCCTCTGGATGCGAAGTGTAATAGATCGAAAAAAGCTATTACCATTTCAAGCCTTGCCAACAAACAGGGATGAGGGAAGCAGGGCTTAGCCTGTCCATCAATTATTCAAGGCTGGAACAGAGTAATATCGCGTCCATATCTCAGGCTTTGCGATTAGGAAATCGCAACGTCTCAAATCGCGATTTCGATTCGATTTCGATTAATCGCACAGCCCTACTGCATTCCCTTAAATATTAAACAATGCACTGCACTGCCGAATAGAACAAGGCCAGAGCCTTGTGTAACCTCCTGGGCATGCATTTTACAAGTGATACGGACACTGAAAAGGTATGATGTGTCCCAAATACATATCTCAGGTGAACTATTCTTTTAAATGTTAAGCGTGTCATTTTTTCAACGTTAAAATCCGAGTTTAATATGCAGAGCCAATTAAAACATTGCTCTGATTGTTTATGCAGTCCAAAAAAAGAGATAATCGGTGGAAAGCATTACGTTAACATTTCCACTAATCTCAATGGCAGTTGCTCGGCTGGAGCATTCAGCTCTGGAAGTAGACAACCTGCATGTTGGATTCTTTGATTAAAGGGAATTTTTAAGCCAATCCCCAGTAAAATTACATCACGTCATTGAATGATTGATCACAAAAAAGTGCAGAGTGACCATTTTAAAATTGTGTTTTATTTATGCATATAATTTCTTTTGTTTTCTTTTTTTTTTCAGAATACACAGCTACTTTTGTGGGGGGGTTTGGTTTTTTTGGTAGTTTTGGATTTTGTTTTCCCTTAATAATAAAAACCTTCATTTAAAAACTGCATGTTGTGTTCACTTGTGTTATCTTTTACTAATATTTAAATTTGTTTGATGATCTGAAACATTAAAGTGTGACAAACATGCAAAAAAATAAGAAATCAGGAAGGGGGCCAACACTTTTTCACACCACTGTAAACCCCCCACTGTTAACCACTGTAAACGTAATCGGTCCGTGGTGTAAAAAAGGTTGGAGACCCCTGCTTTAAACTATGACTTGCTCTTGGAGCTCACAATCAGACTTTTTTTACTAAATGACAGTGAACAGGAGAGGAAGAAATATTTATTTATTTTTTTTCTGCTACTGCATGTAACAAAATGTAACATTATTATTTATTATGGATAATTAAATTAAAAATAATTTAGCAAACCTATCATGTCAAATCAGTGAAAGACATTAGATTCAGAATACATAGGAGAAGTTAAACAACACATAGGCTTTCTTAGAGTGGTCCCCTACAGATATTACCGTTAATGTTCAACTGTGAGGAAATACTGTAGTCAGACTCAAATTAAAACACAACTGAAATGTTTTATAGACAATGAAATGAAAAGTTGCCTTATCTACGTAGAACTGATTAACACATTAATAATTTAGAGAACATCTCAGACTATACCAATAAGGGACCATTCAAAAATATTGCCTTCTTGGTTTGGGGGATCGGTCATTACCATTATCATTGCTATAGTTCATCAGCATGCCACAAAAGACAGTCAAGAGCTTCCCGGTGGCCGGGTCAGTGCTTTCGGCCAGAGACTTAATGTGCTCGGCAACTATCTGAGCACCGCCCGCTGCGTCAACTGCACTTCTGCCCTCATCTGCAAAACAAAGAGGTCACATAAAAAAGAAATAAACAATAAAAAAGGCAACAAATGACACAAAGAAACAGCAACCTGGAACAGAATGACACAAAAGAGGATGCTAAAGGAATAGTTGGACAGGTTGGGACATCCATGAATGCATCCTTATGGAATGTAATATGACAACTGATAACGTTACATGGAGAACGCAAGAAAATAACCATTTTGAGATAAAAGAAGAGCAAATGAGATTAAAAATGGTCTGCTGAAAATGCACATTACTCCAGCACTGGATTTGTTTACAGCTGTCAAGTTGACATGAGGTATAGACGTAACTAAAGGCAAAAGCAGAGACCAGAAGTGCAGCAGAAGCACAGCATACTGAATCCAGACTGCAGCAGAATCACTAACAAGGGAAGGTGTTTAAAGACCCACAGAGATGCCGAGGTCCGGCGGAGTCCAGCATTATTTACACACAGAGCATCAAAGTCAAGAGCGTGACAAGAGCTTGAGTCTTCTGTCAGCTACAGCTAATAAAAGATCGAAATTATGAGTACTCATATTTAATGACAAAAGATTTTAAAACAATATGAAATGGCAAATGCAACCTATTTTACTTTTGATGCATTTAGAGAAAAAGCAAATGTAGGGTGGGGCTTGACATTACACACAAAAACACAACAGTAGCATCCGGAAAAGTTCAAATGGTATGGTGTGGTGATATTAGATAAAACCAAAAATCATTTTTAGAGGTAACTGTGCAGTAAGATATCACATTTTAATAACATTTTTGGAAAATGTGCATAGATGATGCAACACTCCTACGGGATCAACTGCTGGCCAAGGTTGGACAACATCAATAACCACAAAAAAAAAAAAAAGATTTGAAAAGCACCAAAATCATCAAGAAATTATGTAATAATAAAAAAGTACATGAACAAGTTATTGGGCATTAAAACCTCCACAAGAAGCCATTATTTACATCACTTACTCTGAAAATGTAAACATTCAGAGTATTTAATCTTTTTTGTCTGGTTGGTTTATGGATATCTGTAAAAATAATAATAATAATAATTCAATTTTTAGAAAATGTGAGCTGCTTCACAGTGTTATTATTGTTAACAAAAACTAATAAACAAACAAACAAACATACATACATGAAAGAATAATAAAATAAAATATTAGATGAAAATCTTAAACTTAAATAAAAATTTGAAATGTAGCCTTGGCAAACTGAAAATTAACAAATAAATAAATAAAACGAATAAAAATAAATTAATGCTAAATAGAAATATATTTTAAAAAATAATAGAAATGACAAGCACATAACTAAATTACTAAACCTTCAACTAAAAATAAAATGAAAACTGTAAATATAAAAGAGCTAATTCACCATAAATAAATACTTTAACAGTATATAAATAATATTAAAATAAGACTGCTGATTGCCGGTGGAAAACTCAGTGTCATAATATCACAACGTTGTGGATGTTTTTAGCATACTGCGATGTTGTTGCTGGGTTGTTGCTTACTGGCCCAAGTCAAAAAATTAAATAAAAAGCCCATCCTCAAGTCTCCTACCCTACACTTCACTGTCCTACTTTACAACATGTTTTGACTACATAAATAAAAGTGATTCATGAATCATGAATCTGAGATTCATTCCCGTACACAGCACTTTACTTCCATTTTTAGTCATACTTGTCACAGAAACAAAATACCGTCTTAACCTACACTAGCGATTTATATTTAAGCTATGTCTAGTTACGTTTTCCAGTAAGCTCTGTGAACAGATGAGGGTGTTTGTGTGTCAGATATGAGTCAGCTTAGCTGGTATGAACAATGTTTCAGGTTTGTTTACACTGATGCTTGCCCATGCAGAGTCAGGAAGACAGAAAGTGATTTAAATGCAACAAAACAAAGTAAAAGATTGGCTTCTTTGATTGTTTTTTTTGTGTGTCTCTCTGTTAGTAAATCAACTCTATGTATTTGGAAATTTAACAGTATCACTTATTACTTAATTGCTAGCAATTCATATCAATTTCTAATTAGACAACATTTGCACAGTGTAAATAGCTTAATCAATATGTAGAAATGTATTGTATTGTATAGAAATGTAATGTATTGAAATGTATTGACTGAGCATAGGCCAGTTTCCAAACCTTTTTGTCTTATTTAACCCTATACAGGCACCCCTTTATCAACACTAAGGCAGAAATGCGTTCCTTTTTAACTCATATTACACTTAATTTCACTGAGCATCATCTCTTTATCTTTTATAGGTTTAAGTAGCCACAGATGGGAATCACTGGATTCAATAAATCTGCAGAAAAATTGAAAAAAAAAAAATGTGTCCTCATATTTCCATCAGGCAAAATCACTCGACTCAGCTGTGATCCTGAAAGCTGCTCGACGGCCACGCTCAGACGCACTCTTGGGAACGACACTCTTCCCGTTCTTCATCCAGACAAAGCTCTTTTCATTTCCCTAAACTCTACTCGTCCCAAAGGTTTAAGACTCTACAACATACAGTATGTCAATACGGATCACACCACCGGCAAATAAAGCAAAGCACATTACTGCCATAAAATATTTGTGCGCTCTCTCAACAACGAAAGGAGAAAATGTGGTATAATTTCAATTACCAACCACTGCTAGTTCATCAATATGGTTCATGTACAAAACAATTACCAATGGACTAGTTAATTACTGATGCAAAAGTGTGCATGAATTCAATAATTCAATGGTCTAGAGTAGGGATGCACGATATTATCTGACCGATATGGGAATCGGCCGATAATGGCTTTAAATGTACATATCGGCATTGGCCGATATGAAAAAAATATGCCTATATGTCTTGCCGATAAGAGGAATACGTTAACTCATATGTGCTCAGGGTGTGCTAGCGATTAGATCACCTCAGAAGTGTAACTCATTCTGGAAGCAAAGTTTTGCCTGAATGGCAATTAGATTCACTGATTTAGATCGCTGCATTTAAACTGAGAAAGCAGGTACAGAATGACGCGTTCAGTGTATGATAGAGTAAACAGTAATAGCATGCAGCAGCTTCCCCCGGGTCCTAATGCCCGTTCGGTAAGGAGAATATATCGGTATCGGCATCGGCTATTGGTCAAAATGAGTTGTAAAAATATCGGCATATCGGATATCGGCAAAAATCCAATATCATGCATCCCTAGTATAGAGTCAATTATACCACTCACACCACAATCACGTAACATCTTATAATACTTTGGGACGTCTGTCAACCAATCAGAATCAAGAATTCAGCAATGGTATAAGCTCTTGTACAATTACCACTGGAAACCATGTTTGAAATGAAAAAGTGCAGGAAAAGTTCAGGTAGACATCTAAAAGCAAGCTTCTAGCTCAACTATCAGCTGCACTGCCTGCCTCATGTCACTCATTCAGACATCTGTAGCAGCAGTTCTACTTCAAATCATCCAAGAGACTCTGAAATATCTCACAGTAGATGCGGCGGGGCTGGGAAAGGCAGAGGGAGTGATAATGTGCACTTACGGCTGTCGTAGCAGATGTTGCCGAGGGCTCGTCCCGTCTGGAGCAGTATTTCCTGGTCCTTAGAGTTTAGCAGCTGAACCAGGGGAGGAATGAGTCCTGCTTCCACACACAGGCTCCTCATTAATTCTGCAGAGAAGCGCAACGACTTCAGCTCAATAAAACTTTATCAGATAAATACTTGCTGATTTAAATTCAAGCTTGTGCAGTAGATATCTGCATGGTCGAGTCAACCAGTGCTCTTTATGCATGTCTAAATCATGACTACACAAACCATCCCTAGTCGAAGGATGTACAAGACTGTTAATAGAAATTTCTCATCTAAACACCCTGTATTGTTATAAAAATATGCAGAACCCCATCAAAACCGATACCGATACTTCTAAACTGAACTTTTAAATTAAGAAATGTTTTAAATTATTAAATTACTAAGAGTAAAATGGGTAATGATTCCCACTTAACTTTATATTTGAAATGCATTTTAACATTCAATATGCTTTAATTGCAACTTATTAGCTTATATTTTTGTTTACGCATGGTTAAAATATGTTTACTGTAATGGTAACCATGGAAATCTACAAATACTATAGATGAACTACGGTAAAACATTGGTTCATTTTCATAAGGGACTGCCACTGAAAGGCTGTTGCATGCATAAAATGCAACCTTTTTATTCTGGCAGACATTGTATGATTTATATTAACATTACAGAATAGAACATGATCAATATGAACTTTTAACGTTCAATTTAAATAAATGTAATTGCACAAACTATGTAGGCTACAATTTCAATTTCTTTATTGTGAAATAACTCAAACATATATGTTTTTGCTGTCCTCTGATAAGCATTGTTCTGGGCTGCCGTTCCCAAAAGCATCAATGGTTTCTTTTGATACTTTTGGGAAGCGCAGTCCTGTTTGAATGCACTCAAAAGTGAGCAAACGCTCTCTGTGATTGATTGGTTCTGTCTTGCAACATTTGCATGTGTTCAGATGAGCAGGAAAACGGTTCTATTCTACACAATTATTCGCTAACATAGGTTATTCGCCCAATTCAATACATATTGTACGCATTACATTTTTTTGTTAAATAAACAAAATCACTGGTAAAAAAACACACCTTAGTATCGATATTTTTTTATTTATACTTTTTTGACTTTATTATCCCGCTTAGGGAAATTCTTCTTCACAGCATCATTCCATTCCACAAACAGTGTCACCATGACACAACATCAAGTCATAAGTATTACACATCTTGATGTCAAGACTACATTAACAAAGTCCGCTTTATATCAATGTCCGCATCCTGGCCTATTCAGCGAGGCCTTTTGTTCAGGGCCACTATAACAGCAGGAATCAGGCTTTTCCCGAAGCGAGCCCTTCTGCACCTTAGCACCCTGTATCTACGTCCTGAAGGGAGTGGGGTGAGGTACCAATTTAATAGGTGTGTAATGTCCTGCTCAACTGAAGTCGGCATTCGTGTAATGGCCCTGTTATTTAATTCTGTCAGGTTTGGTGTGGGAAGACCCATTATTTTGGAAGCTGTGGTAGTTATACGTACGAGTTTGGCCTTATTCTTAACAGATAGCATGCCAAAGAAACATGTGGAGCAATATAGAAGAATAGATTGAATCATGCTCTGATATTTGAGTATCCATACTTTTGATACTCGCATCAGGATCGATACGGCCATCCCTAGTCAGAACAGCGATCGTGGAAGAGAAAACACAAGCAGACAGAGCTGGAAGCAGCTAATGCTCCTCCGTATTTACAACACTGTTCCAAAACAGTTCAAACCAAATATTTGTGCGTGTGCAACGCATTTCATTACACCAAATACACAAAATAATGTTATTTTTTAGCAACATCATATGACCCCTTTAAAAGGAAAACGCACTAGTGTAAACGTAATCTAAAAGATGTGGAAACTGAAAACGTTTTAACTTTATTAAAACTATTTGCACTGATTTATTGTGTTGGTTACATTTTGTTCCTTTGTGCAGTGGCTCAGGAGATGAGTTTTTGAGTCTGTAAAAACGTCAAAAAAAATTGAATCAATTTTTTTTGAGGTAATGTAATCTTGATAAAAATGGATTTCATAAAATTGGTATCGAAAAAAGTATAGTTCAGGAACCGGTATCAGTATCAATATTGAAAATTTTGGAACGATACCCAGCCCTAATCATAGTAACAGCGCAGTAAACCATACTGTAGCAAAAGCATCACTGAAATCCTAAAATGTATCTTTAGAAAGTCCTCAAGACTTCGCAGATGTTCCCCGAGGAACGCTGACAGCTGAATACCAGCGGGAGCTGCCAGAGATCTGGCACATCAGCAGGCCACTGTCATTAGCTACCTAGCAAACTGCTAAAAGGCCATTCATTATTTTAACCTTTTTATCTCAGGCACTCTCCATACACTTCCAAACCCCAGCTCTATCTGTCTTAAGTGCACGTTAAAGAAACACTTGTGTAATTAGACTAAAAGCTTTAGGTGAAGAAGCACACTGACTGCAGGTTGATGTGCTAGATTTTGGGCATGATTTAGTAATTGCCGTTTTTCTCCAGGCTTATTTTCTTTGAAAATACCACACCAGCCTGGTAAATATTTAATAAACATTAATTAAATCAAATAAAAAATATAAAAAAAACAAATGTATATTTTTAAAACCAGTGATCAGGGAGACTAATTAGGCTCATCATACAACACAGAATTACATGCTGCGCTGGTGTGTTCGCACAATAAATTTAACTGCTGATCTGCTGATGCATAAACAAGGCAACCTATCTGAAGACGAAATCTGAAATTACATCTACAAAGCAAAGTGGATAAATACATTTTCAGTACCGTGATATATCGCATTACCGAATACCGGCACAAGTCTAAGCTCCACACAGAAAGCTCTCCTGTACTCTAGTTTATTCTGCCAAGCTGTTATTCAACCCTGCTAACATCACATCTGTGATTGGATTTTGAAAAAGAAAGACATCCAAAGAGAATATCGTTGCTAAAAACACTCAAAACTGGCAAATGGTGCACTCATAATAGCAAAATGCATTAGAAATCTTATAAATATTGTTGTTATGATATAATATAAATATAAAAAATGGAATCTCAAACACGCATTTACCATATTTGATCACATTATTACCGAATGAAATCGGTTGATCATATTAAAGGACTTGAATTAAACCACTCGATTCATACGGATTCTTTTTATGATGTCTTTATGTACTTTTTGAAGCTTGAAAATGTTAATTACCTAGACTTTCAGTGGGTGGACGGAATATTAGAAACGTCTTCATTTGTGTTTTGAATATGAATGAAAGTCTTATAGGTTTGAAACGACACGAGGGTGAGTATAGATGACTGAATTTAGATTTTTGGGTGAACCATCCTTTTAATATATCACAAAATATTTTACAGACAGTGTAATCAGATTGAAATCAGGACCTCAAAAGCAAAACATGAATAAAATTGATAATAAAAATAAATACTTTTACATTCAAATCACGTTATGCAAGTAATGCATGTTTTTTTTAATGAGAAAACTTACAGGCAATTAATATTGCAACATTTATATTTTAAATATATATTTACGTTTTTAAATATATATATATATATATATTTTTTTTTTTGCACAGCATGCATGTACAGCATACATTCACTGATAAATGAGAGCAATAATTGACATTAACTTTCAAAAAATTTTTAGATGCAGCCCTAGTCTTAATTGTGATAATTACATTTCAAAATTACATTTTATTTTAAGTAGAACAGAAGTGTTTACTGCAGTTAGAAATATTCATTTTCTCATATAGTATTGCATATTCTCAGGACTGCATCATGCGTAGTGTGGTGTGTTTATAAGTTAACTCAGTTTTAATCTGTCTGTTTTGCGATCGACTGGTTCTGCTGAACTGATCTTATAGCTTACATGCGAGCCTATAATTTCCTTCACGCTGTCAATAGCAGTAATAATGACACGAATGAACGGCCACAGACTCGACTGCAGCGTCAGTGAAACTGGGGGAGAAGAAGCAGAGAATAGCAGAGACAAACAAACAGACCCGAGTGGCAAAACAGGTTTATTTTATTATTTAAAACCGGTTTCTATGAACAATGATAATATAGAGCTGTACTAAGGCTAGTCAAAATGAACACAGTATATTAATGCTCTGAACTCACAGAAATGAAGACACTGATTATTATAATGCCAGTGATTTTTATTACCTCAATCTCAGGGGGGGTTTTTTTTTCATTAAAAAATGTATCTCTAGAGCAGTGTTTCCCAACCGGGGTGCCGTGTAAAAACTCCTTTTTTAATATTTTTAAATTGCTAAAATGTTCAAAAAGCATAAAATATCTGTATGACATTATATTCTGCAGTTCTTCCCTGTTGTACCGAATATCTATACTTTTCAAATTATCATATCGAAGTTAGAAATTCAAATATTGTGACAAAATTAATTTTGTAGGGTGCCACAAGTTTGTTAAAATTTCCAAAGGGTGCCGCGACTAAAAAAAGGTTGGGAAACACTGCTCTAGAGAACTGAACAGTACATTTGAGTGAGAAAATTTACAAAATCATGAACACACAAAATGTAGATTTCAGTTTCATCAGTAGCCTAAATAAATGGCATTTATTTTAGAAAGAAGGCCAGTGTTATTTTATTATCATTGAGATACTATTATAGTGTTTATTTATATTTTGAATTAGTTTTTATTTTTATATTTTCCATTTTCTCATCCACTTTTCTTTATTTAGTTAGTTTTAGTGATTTTTTGTGTTTTTGTCAGTTTTATTAGATTTTTTGTTTTGTTTTTATAAATATGTCTATGTAGTTAATTTTCATTTCAGTTTTAGTTATTTTAGTACATCAAGTTAAACCAAATTAAAATGAGAAATGCTGAAAGCTGAAATAAAATGTTTTCGTTTTTTTATATTTTATTTAAAGTAATTTAGAATTTTTTTTTTATGGTTTTAGTTTACTATAATAATCCTCAGTGGGTCTCCATGTTTAGATCACATGACCATTTTAATCCTATTCATTTTATACTGGAAACACCTCCTACTATCAGACACTTAATTCTTATGGAATAAATGAACCATTTCTACAATGCTACCGTTGACTTTTGCGTGACGCTGCATCCACACCACTAGGTGTCAGTAAGTCCAAAATGATGAAGGAAGCAACAACTGGCGATATAGGAACACTTACCATTTTTGGCCACCTCTGCGATGATGTTGGCTACTTTTGGTGTGCATGAGTTCTGCGCAGACAGAAGTGCAGGCAACATGGCAAGAACACCCATCTCCTGGATCTTTTCACTGGTCTCAACATCTGAAAACAGAGCCAGGCACATCAGTGAATTATATGATATTCAGAAAGGATCTCACCTGCGAACACAAAGGTTTCAGATTCAGGCACAGGTGGTACATTTAGTACTTATACAGGGTTCACTTTTTGAACAATGAATTTCCAGGACGCTCATGTCCTTTAAAATCGTTCATGACTACTAAAAAAGATCAGTGGGAAAGATTGTCATTTTAGATACCATCTTTGGAATTAATGCATCTACACAAGAATACCATAAATGTAGGGCTGCACGATTAATCGAATGCGATTGTCATGCGCATTTTGTTAAAAAAGCCGGTTCTGTAATCAGCAGGAAATCATCGTTTCTTCTGCGAGGCGTATTTGGAGTTTCAGCGCGAGAGTGCCCTCTGGCCTTTGGATGGAGATTTACTGCTGATCGCAGAACCGTGCTTCACTGAAAGATACGCATGACAATCGCAGCTTCTGTCGAATCGCGATCTCGATTCCATTTCGATTTATCGTGCAGTCCTACATAAATGTGCAAAGACTCTCAACCAGAAAAACTGCTGATAACACTGATGGTTTGTGGGGAGGTTTTACATAACCACATATAAAGAGCAAGAACTAGCTGCTGAAACTAGTACATTTTAAAGCACAACAAAACTAGAAACATGCTCTTATCCGCCTGGTAACAAAGTCATATTTACAATAGTTTTGTTATTGTTAACTAAAACTCAAAATAAATGTTTCCGTTAATTAAAATAACGCTGAAATAAAAACATTAGATATTAAAAACTTAAAAGAAAATGAGAAATTAACTGAAATAAAAGCTGAAGTATTTAAATTACTAAAACTGAAATACAATTAAAGAAAGTTAAAGAAAAAAAATAGAACTAATCAAAATGACAAAAGCACATAAAAAGACTAAAACTTGAACTTGAACTAAAATTAATTTAAAATGTTAAACAGTATATAATAATACTACAATTACACTGATTTACAAGGTTGATACAATAAGCAGAACTAAGGGTTGCAAGGTTAATGGCATAAAAACTTTAAGCATTTAAAATAAACTGAACATCCACAAGCAGAAGCATGAATTCCAATTCGTTTTCTGAGCTGCGTTTATGTAGTTGTGTTTATTACGTTTGAACAGACAGAAATACTGATCACAAAGCCTACACACTTCTTTTCTATTTATTTTTTTTAATCATTCATTGTTCCCTCCATTAATTTAATTGTAATTTTTTTTTTTTCCCAAAATGTTCTCTAACCTCACCCCCAAATGGTACATAAAACTTAATCAGACGGTCTCTTCCGGTCTAAATAGCCAAGAATAAGCTGGGGAGGATTCAAGTAATACTGCAGCATCCTGAAAACATCATTAGTGAAACAATAAGCTTGACCTTCCCATTGCATTTTAACTGACACTTTGTATTTATTTTATATTTCATTAAGTTTTCAGTTGGCTACATTTTTCTTAGCAACGTGACGCAGCAGAATAAAAAGTAACTGCAAGGTTTTTACCAACAAAATGGATTTAGTTCAATCCTGCATCCTTGAATAATCTGAATATAAGACATAAGAGGCCTAAGCTGTCCTTAAATCAAGGCACCTGCCCTCTTCAATCATTCTTTATTTCAGCTGATGCTGTAAGGAATGAGGAAAATGAACAGCTATATAAAAGACTTACTATTGTGGACCAAAGCTTTGAGCAGGCAGTCCAAGCAGCCCTCGACACTGTCTGAAGCGCCGTCTGCCGACGAGAGCTTCAGCGTCTTCAGGGCTTCGCTCAGGTTATCTGCTGATGGAAGAGAAATAATGAACAGCTTTATCTCTTAAATAGTTTACAACTGCACAAAATCATGAAAAGACAAAGAGCCTACTTTTATAAGGCAGTGTTCTCAATGAGCCCAAATCAATTACTGTACGCTCTCGGGGGTGGGGGAGTTGTACAAAAGCAGTCGCTGGGGTTGGTACCTTTGCAAAAAGTACACCTTTGTACCTTATTTACCACTAAAGAGTGAATACTGGTGCCTTAATGGTACATATTAGTACTAGAGCCCGACCGATATATCGTTTTGCCGATATTATCGGCCGATATGAGCCTGTTGCCGATATATCGGTATCGGCACATATGCCACCGATATGAAAATGTTTTTGACAGAACATATAACGCAGATAAAATGCTTGAAATGGTGTAATTACTTAGTTTGTCCATTGTTTGCTACTGGCGACCTGGATGAAACGCTTTTGAAGCTTAAGTCTATGGAAAACCATTGAAACTTTGAACGGCCATATCTCCTTAACGGCGCAGCGAACCCGCACCAAATTCGGGGGGATCCCTTCAGCTCGAGGAACCCTCTCGAACGCGAATCGAGTGTACGTCTAGAGGCCCGCTTTCGAATGAGACCCCCCCCCCGCGTCGATAGCCCCCGGGGTTCGGGAGTTACGGGCGGTTACATTCGCGGTCCGGCGCCGACCGATTTAGCGATCCCGGGGGGCTACTGACGCGCGGAGGGTGAAGGGATCCCCCGAATTTGGTGGAGAGTGATCATTGCAAAAAATGTGTTTATGTATATATATTCTGTTTATGTATATACTGTATTCTATATATAGTACCAGTCAAATGTATGGACACACGAATGGGAAAATGTCCAAACTTTTGACTGGTACTGTACTATAATATACACAAAGAATATCGGCCGATATATCGATATCGGCCTTTTTTTTTACTCCCTAATATCGGTATCGGCCCCAAAAAAACCATATCGGTCAGGCTCTAATTAGTACCTAAAGTGTACATATTATAACCTAAATGGCACATATTAATACTTTTTGAAAAGGTACCACCCCAGTGAAAGCCTATGGCTTTTATCGATGTGAAAATTCTACGACCTAAACTGTTTGCACACAATCTACTACATGCCTTCTGTCGCCTTATTGATAGTTCATACTTTTTAGCAAATAAAAGGCCTTTTGGAATCATTGTAAAAATGACCCCCTTCGGTTTGTGGTTCATGTGTCTTTTTGCTGTGAAATCTTTACTGATTTTGTTTTTTTATCGTAAACATAGGAATAGCTTTTATATTGTTAGTAATATTTCAAGATGAGCACTTACTGGACTGAAGCAACTTAGGTTTGCTTGATCATCTGTACATCAGTTTTTAGAAAATTAATGTAAAATGTGAGTACCAAATATGATCGTCAGGCTTTTTGAATGTTTATTTGTTCATTTCTCAGCCCCAAAATAAAAACTAGAGCTTTGATCATAAAATATCACCTAACTAACACATATTATTAGGAGATACAGAGTGACAATTGGCATTTAAATGCAATTTATGTAAGTACTTTATGTAAGTAGATCTCACTGATTTGCATTACAATCAAGTGATCAGAATTTCATCTTAATTTTTGGTCATATAAATATTAGAAACTGCACCAAATTGCTTATATTTGCTCAGTTTGGTGTTTTTCCTCAAGTATGAGCTCCATGTTCTCCTAGATCATACTTATATGAGCCATAAAAGGCTGATGAATATGAATCCCAACAAAAACCATATGCACATTTTTTTGTAGATTTATTTATTTATTATTTTTTTTATATTTTGTCTAATGGTTAAATAGACTGTTCCATTTTTTTTTATGTGAGTTTTCAGACCATTATTTTATGCTTTATAAGGTCTTGAAAAATGTTGCACATTATAATAGTTGTGTACAGTAATAAGGTCTGTCTAATAATGTGTACGCTTTTTCTCCAAGTTTCCTCCTTTTTGCCTTTACTTCATTAGGACAGTGCAAAGGCTGACAGTAAGCACTGAGAGGAACAGGGCCAGGACCTGATGTTGCTCAAAGCGCTACTCTCTCCTCAAGGCTATGACTCCAACATTACACATACTACATACACTCATATTGCTGATGCTTTAATCCAAAGTTTTCATGCATTCTCTGAGAACTGGACCCATGACCTTGGTGTTGCAGGCGCCATGCTCTATTGTCTGATTCACAGAAACATCTGTCATGTTTGGAAGCTCTTTTAATAGGTAGAAGAGCTCAACTAATAAGACAAGGGCAGAAAAGAAGCCAATTAAAGTGTGAATGGTGATTCTAGAACATACTTGTCACTGTAGGGATGTTAAAGCCAGTGAAGCCTTCGTTCCATTAACAAATCACGTCAAGATAAAAGCCAACGGAGACAATGAGTCAGATCTATCATCAAATCACCCGTCTACTTTATATTTAGGCTAGAAAAATGAAATAAAAGCACAAATTCCCAAGAACTTTCAGACTCAAATGAACTATATCATACTCCTGTATAAAGCATAACTACTACAACAATACTGATTAAACCAACTCTAATTTCCTTTTCTGCATAAATAAATAAAATTTGGTGCAATTTTCTACATAAGCTGGTTGTGTCTTCTTTCTGCTCGTTTGAATACCAAAAAAAGTGAATCTGAATGACAGAGTGTTCAAACTGCTAAAATTACTTGGTTTTCATATGTTCTACAGTACATTTAAATATAAAGGAAAAAACTGCAGTTGGGGTTACAGGATCCAGAAAAACACACTTTTGGTGTAAATGAATACGTTGCAATAGACCCTTCGCAGGGAGTTTGGTAGTCCAGATTAAAATGTAAAAAAAAGTTTGAAAATAAATAGCCTATTAAGTCTAAATATTTAAGTATTTGGCGCTGTGATGAACATCATAGCAAATACACAAATCTGAATGGCTGTTTAAATAATTTAAACATGATTCAGAAACAGGAAGTAGTGCAGCTGCTTTGTTTACAGGGTTTCCGGGGTAACGGCTGCATTTAAATGAATTATTATTATTATTATTATTATTTCTGCAGTTTAGGCCATCTGCTGTCAGAGAGTGAAAGTGCGCTTTCATCCAGAGCGTCTCTCACATGTTCCGCCATGTGCTTCTCGTACGCGCTTGTTTACATCAGAGTGCGCACGAGTCTTTCATGCAGCATACAGCAGTGTTGTGCATTTTGACCAGTTGATGGGAAAAATATTCTTAAAATGCATTCAAAATTCTGAATAATTTGTAATATATAATTATTGACTGTATTTAGAAGTGCCCACGATAACAATATCGTGCATATTCATTACCGTGATATATCGCATCACCGAATACCGGCACAAGTCTAATGTTCATTCATGTTTATTTTGTGCTATAATAACTAGTAAAGAGGAGATGATCGGTTCACGTGCCGCTTGAACTGTGGCACTACAGCGATCTGTTGTGAAGGGTCAATTACTATTAAACTCGGACAAAATAGTAGCACACAACCGAAATGAATTACTTTAATCTTGTTGTGCAATATTTTTAAATGCACAAAAGTTTTCTCATCTGTAATTTGCCATATTAAAGGGATCGTTCAAACAAAAATGAAAATTTTGCAATCATTTACTCACCCTCATGTTGTTTCAAACCTGTTTGAGTTTCTTTCTTCTGTGGAACACAAAAGAAGATCATTTGAAGAATGTTGGTAACCAAACAGTTGCTGGTCCCCATTGACTTCCATAATATGGAACAAATACTATGGAAGTCAATGGGTGCCAGCAACTGTTCAGCTATCAACATTCTTCAAAATATCTTCTTTGTTGTTTAACAGAAGAAAGAAATTTTTACAGGTTTGGAACAACATGAGGTGAGTAAATGATGACAAAATTTCCCCTTTTTAGTGAAATATCCATTTAAAAGGGTGGAATGTCTGTTTGACAATCAGGATTGCAGAAAAATGGGGTAAAGCAAATACAGCCATACGCAGATACTCTGGTTTGTAAAATATCTTTGCTGTTTCTCTTGTCTTGTCAGAACTGTAACTGCTGCCTTTTCACAGACTGAACATAAATTACATAAATTACATGAATAACATAAATTAAAAAAAATTAAAAAACAACATATGCAAGGATGAATAATTCACAATAAGATCAAAAACATGCATTTAGAAAACAGGTGAATAGGGTGATTAATCTCACTTTTTTTTTCAGCTCTATTTTAAAGTCGTCATGAAATCAGAATCGATCCTATTTATTTGCATGTTGCGTGTTACTGATCATATTATGAATTATTCATTCATGCATATTTTATACTTTTACTTTGTAACCTGTCCTGAAAATAAGATTTATACGATTTTTCAGCTGTTCAAAAACATCTAAATATATATAAGTCAATGGAACATTCTTTAAAATATCTTTTTCAAGAAAGGAAGCAAAAAAAAATTAAAAAACAACATATGCAAGGATGAATAATTCACAATAAGATCAAAAACATGCATTTAGAAAACAGGTGAACAGGGTGATTAATCTCACTTTTTTTTTCAGCTCTATTTTAAAGTCGTCATGAAATCAGAATCGATCCTATTTATTTGCATGTTGCGTGTTACTGATCATATTATGAATTATTCATTCATGCATATTTTATACTTTTACTTTGTAACCTGTCCTGAAAATAAGATTTATACGATTTTTCAGCTGTTCAAAAACATCTAAATATATAAGTCAATGGAACATTCTTTAAAATATCTTTTTCAAGAAAGAAAGCCATACAGATTTGTAATAGCATGAGGGTGAATTTTTGGTTTAAAAATCCCTTTAACGAAAGAAAATAAAATACTGTGTTTAAGCCCTAAAAACTTGCATAGATGACCCACGTAGCAGAATATCCAGTATATGGCATTAATAATAATAATATAAATGATAACATCAGTTAATAGGAACATATTTATGATTTTCTGTCTACTGTTGGAGTAAATAAGACAAAAAAAGGTTGAAAATCACTGCCCCGACACACACAGCAGCCGATCCCTCCATCAGAATATTCAGCGTATGTCTGCTCATATGTGACCTCCTTTTCTGCAGACTCACCATCTTACTGTTTCATGATCCAGATTGTTCATATCTGCATTTGAATCAACCTGCCATGCACATTCAGTTCAACACGCATTCACTGGCCGGCACAGCAAGATCTCCCGCTGTCTAGTTCACAAATTTGTGTCAAGTGTTACATCACAGGCTGTCAGCCACACAAGACTGGGATGCACTGGGGATGTCTAGGAAACATGAACTGTGATTCACTGCAGATTTAAATACTCATAAGCTGTTTTCAGGCACTGGTGATCATCTCACCAAAACCAGATGAATATAATTAGCCCAAAAATGAAGGATGCAGGATGATGAGCATGTGTGGTCCTGTTGTGCATTTGTGAATAATCCATGGCAACGTTACATCACAGCCTCTCTCTGAAGGATGGGCTCTCAAGAGTTGTCTGGTTGTGGCTCAAAACCATTAGTTACTGCCTGAGCTACTCTGACACACTCACTAGTGTGCATTTGTAAATATTAAAAACTGGTCATGAGGAGTTCAGGAATCTGCAAATCTTCATGTTTCGCTTTACTTACCCATCTGGCTAGTGTGTGTGAGTGTTAATAGTCCAAACGGGCTCCAAGTGTGCTCTCTGGAGGACTGAGTGTGCTGGTTATCTTCAGGCGGGTTCCGGATCGGTTTTGGTTCGCTTGTCAGACAGATATCCGGGCAAGGCCCACCTTAACCCACGCTGCTCCGGTGAAAACAGCCTCTACCGCTCGGGGGGAGATGCATACAACCGGGCGAGACCCCTCTGTGCTGATGTCGGGGATTACGTTATTTTATCCGAAGAGATGAGTGCTCTTGTGCATCAAAATAAAGCCAGAGGCACTTCAGATGCACTTCCTTCTAGTGAGCGAGCTGTCTGATTCTTCGCACAGCAGACGAGCGCGGCGAAGCCCCGCCTTCCTCTCACCTGATTGGTTCGTGGTCCGCACAGAGCGTTCTTGTCTCGACGCTGATTGGTAGGCTATGCTGTCGTTGAAACAGGCCACGCCCCTTGAGGATTTGCTCGAGTCTGATAGTCATGTTGCTCGTCTGACTCGTTTGCGCGAATCGGTTCTTCCAAACGGTTCGTTTTAAGCGATTCATTTCCGTCATGACGTAATTGCGTTATCACGTGGTCAGTAAAGCTGGTTTAACTTTGATTGTTTTATTTGTAAAAAAGTTTGCCCTTTACTGTGTCCCAGTTTCTGCATCAGTGTTTCAGCTCATAAAATTGCACACAGCTTAAATATAGTTTGCAGTTACATTTCATTCCTTCAGTTTTCCACGTTTTAATAAAATGCTATGTTTGAGTACGTTTTAATTAAGATAGACTCTCTTTTAGCCCCATCATGAACTGGTGAATTGTTTTGTTTATTTCAGTTTTTGATCAAAACAGGTAGGAGAATGTCAACTAGTTTTATTCACACCACTAACTGATGACGTTACGCCCTCTAGTGGACATTTTTGTGAAGTAAATCATTAAAGCTATTAAATTCTTTAGCAATTCTGTAACCGTGAGAATAAATTTACAATGATAAAATTATATTATAATGATCCATGGATTTACTATACTTTTATAGGCCAGATGTCTGATTTTATGACACAGTAGGCGAAAAACTCTATAATCATTAAATCATATATATATATATATATATATATATATACCACATATTACTGCGTTACAGCAAAACGTAATATACTACTGTAATATTATTACTTTTGTAATGCGTTACTCCCAACACTGCCAATCAGGCACAGGTGAAGTGAATAACACGATTATCTCTTCATCACGGCACCTGTTAGTGGGTTGGATACCTTTAAAAACAGTATTTAATATGGAAATAATGTATGTTAAAATGTCTATAATGTTTGTTTTAAATATTCATAATGTTAATATTATGTTTGTACATTTATATTGACTTTATACATTAATATATGTTTGAATGTATATGCAGTAGAGTGCTTTTGACCCACTTAAGTATTTAAGTACACAGTACAGTTACATTATACTCAAGTACTGCACATGTGCTTTACATGTTAGTATGATACTCAACATATCAAAATATGTGTACTTCTTTAAAACATGACAAAAGATTAAGATTAAAACAATGATTTAAATGTACGTTAAAGTAAAACTTTTAGTGCACTCTTCAAGTACACTTGTGACCTTTTATTACATTGATATTAGTATCTGATATGATATTATTATTATCTGTAATTACAGTATTTTAAAAAGTAGCCTACTTTTACAATTTAAAGTACACTACAAGTGCACATTCAATACAATTAAACACACTTGTTTTGTCAAAACTAAGGGAATGGAAGCATGCAAATCTTTACACACACACACACACACACACATTGTTTTTTATGTTTTATGGGGACTCTCCATGGGAGTAATGGTTTTTATACTCTACAAACTGTATATTCTATCCCCCTACCCTAAACCTACCACTCACAGAAAACTTTCTACATTTTATATTTTTAATAAAACATTGTTTAGTTTTAATAAAACATTGTTTAATTATACAAATGTGTGTCTTCTCATCATTCTTCGAAACATTTGGAATAATGTAAGTACACAAGTCAGCAAAATATATAACACCGTTCTAGTGGTTTTTTGGATATTTTAATAAAAAAAAATCTTACATATTGTGCCTTTAAGAAAGCAAAGGTGTGAACGTGCTTTCCTCTTTAACTGCGTGTTAATTGTTAATCAGACCAAACAGTACCTACATATAAACAAAATAAGGCAAGATTTATAATGTTTAACTAATGAGTGAAAGAATTCGATGTTTATATTTTAACACTAGCCTATATTGCACAATAAGCACGAGCGTCGACATGACAGTGATATGTTGTGCTTTCTAAATTCTAATATTTTTATACCTCATTTACGGACCTATGAGACGAAATGACGGTAAATCAGAGGTCAAGTTGCAATAAACGACCGAGCAATGGTTATCAAGAGATTCTGGCACAGACAGAAGCAGCAGCAGATCACATCACCCCTCCCTCCCAACAGCAGCTTCACGGCAAACCTGCTGCTGCCGCCGCCGCACGTTATCCGCCGGTGCTCCGTCTGAAGACCGCGAGCCTCGCCAGATTCATTCGCGTCTCCGTCATGGATATGCTGGGGAAGAAAGAGCCGAGAGGCAGGGATGTGAAGGGCTTGTTGAAGAGGAACTGGATTCTCATAGCAACCATCAGCTCGGTGATACTGGGTAAGATGGGCTGGAGCGCGTTCATCTTTCTTCCACATTTCTCTGCATCGTCTATCTCGCTGCATTGTTGTGCTCAATCACGTCTCATGCCGTTAATTATTTATCTAGTGCTGTTGTTTTTTATTAATATCCGCGCTAATTCTCTGTCTGTGCTTGCTGTTTCGATGGATCTGCACCGCTGATTTGATATCATGCAATGGCTGATTTGACAATAACAGCAAATAAAGTGTTTGTTGCATTTAGCTGCACGTATCTGCAGGTGTGTTGATGGGTGAATGTGATGAATGAAGGCATTGATCTCTGTGTGTGTTTGCGTCTAGATATTTTATTACTGCCACAGAGAAACGTGACCAGACTTCCAGTATGACACAGTAAAATCTCTCTGCGATTCATCTCACAAAAGCAGTGACACATTGTAGCTTATAAAGAGATCGGGGCTAGTTGTCACACTTTATTCCCGTGACTTTGTTGTTTTAGAAAGTCTATATAGAACTTGCCCATAGTTACTGGTTAGAAATATGTTTAATAAGACATTGGACATATGTTGATCTTTTGTGACAACATGCCCCTTTTTAAAATATGAAATCCTAATTTAAATGACTAGTTCACACAAAAATGAGTATTTGCTGAGAATTTATTCCGAGATGTAGATGAGTTTGTTTCTTCATCAGATTTGGAGAAATGTAGCATTGCATCAGTTGCTCAGCAATGGATGCTCTGCAGTGAATGGGTGCCGTCAGAATGAGAGTCCAAACAGCTGATAGAAACATCACAATAATCCACAAGTAATCCACACCACTCCAGTCCATCAGTTAACATCTTGTGAAGTGAAAAACTGCTTGTTTGTAAGAAACAAATCCATCATTAAGACTTTTTCAAATGTCAACTATTGCTTCCGTTTGCTCCTCTATCCATAATACAGCTTTCTCCATTAAACAGGCCATTTAATCTCAATCAGGAGAGAAAAATGCACAGATCAAGCATCATTTACAAGCGAAAACAGTCCAAAACAGCTCTAAACAAATATGTCGGTGGATTTTGATGTGGGAGACAACAGAGGTTGAATATTTGGTCATTTTGGTCAAAAGCGTCAGTCTAACGATAAAACGCCTTAAGGATCTGTTGCTTAGAACCATGCAGACATAATTTCACAAGGCATTAATTGATGGACTGGAGTGGTGTGTGGATTACTTGTGGATTATTGTGATGTTTTTATCAGCTGTTTGAACTCTCATTCTGACGGCACCCATTCACTGCAGAGCATCCATTGGTGAGCAAGTGATGCAATGCTACATTTCTCCAAATCTGTTCCCATGAAGAAACAAACTCATCTACATCTTGGATTGCCTGAAGATGAGTACATTTTTGGAGTGACTTTTGCTTTTAAAAAAGCCATCTTTTACAATATACTTATTAAAAATACAGAAAAAAAAAACAATACGACGGATTGCTGGTTTCCCAGTTTGGCGAAGCTCGTTTGAGGTCTGGTTTTAGAGATGTTTTTCAGCTTGGCCAGACTGGGAAATCAGCAAACCAGCATATAGGCTTCGACTTTTCATGAAAATGTAAACTGTTATGATAAACAAAACAATTCAACATGCAGTGAAAATAGTAAACTGTGATACAAAATGTCTGTAATTAATAAAATACAATAGAACACGTGAGAACTTTCTGAGAGCTCAGTTCAACCTTTCTGTTAAATATATCCTCATCACATAGTTGAAAACACTCCAAAGAGAAAGGAAAAATTGAAATCGCATCATATGACCCCTTTAATATATGCCAGCATGGTTTAATTATGTGCATTTGTTTGCTTATCAGCTATTAGCCTACAACATTTTTTAAAGCCAGTATTCACAAATATTCTAATTAAATACAGTTTTGACAAGTCATTTGTGTAATTAAAATATATAACCTTACAGTTACTGAGACAACTTCACCCGAATGCCAACTCTTTCCTACATTTTTTGTGCAGAAATGTACAAAAAAAAATCTTTATGACAACCATGAGTAGTTATTTGCCTCGCCACAAACTGGCCAGTTTGTGAAAACTTAGTCATCACAACATTAATGGTTTAATGCTTGGCAAAATGCTCAGAACTTATAGGCTTTCCAATAAAATCTCACTATTGCTCTATTAGGCATTTCTGAGCTGATCGGTGAGGCAATTAAGCAGCGGTCATAGATTATACACTATATGTACTGACAAGACAATGAGAAAAGTCTTGACTGCAGTGATGGCATGTCCTATTTTTATATAAAATTAATACACTTTTATAATATGTGCAATATTGCTATATTAATAATAATGTTATTTTGATTGCATTTTTACATTATAAAAATAGCCAAAATAGTGGTTAATGTTTTATGTATACCAAACACTCAGTCCTGAGCCTGTTTAATACTTATAGTAAATTATGCTCTTGTTATTTTCTTTTCTTTTCTGGATTTATATGGCCATGTTTGTGCAATGGTCAAAACACAGATTGTTTTGATGCCATGCAAGCTTGTGCAGTAACCTACAATAAAACAAAAGGCAGGTCAAGCAAATCACTCTTTCAGTGTTTTATATCATCTTTTATTTACTCAGTCATAAGCACCATAATCATTATGACGCTAAAATGTAATAACGATATGTTACAGTACATCAGAGACCATTGTAATTGACTGTTGCGTTTGTGGTTACTTGGGTTTGGTTTAGCCTCGTTAAACATTCAAGACGTCTTCAGTGAAAAAGAAGTACACTTTAGCATACGTTACTTATTATGGAAATAATATCCTTTAGAATAAAAAGAAACTTGTACTTAAGTGCAAACTTGTTCACATAATTGCATGTTAATCACAATTAAAAATTGTATTATAGTTTAAATGTATATTAAATGCAATTAGCTGAACTTTAGAGTGTTTCTGGATCCACTTAAGTACATCTTTAATATATAATTTCATAATTACTTCTATGGTCTTTGAACATAATGATGAAGTTGCAATTAAGTACATTTAAAAATGTTAACTTTAAATGTAATGTAATCTACAGTTAAAATCATAATCAAGTACTTTGCATGTGCTTTAGTATGTTAGTCAACAAATCAAAATAAGTGTACTTCTATAAAACACAACAAACTTTTTGACATTTGACATATTACAAAGTACGCTTTTAAAAGTCTACTAAAGTGTGTTAAGAAACCTTCATGAAAGTCTCTCTCTTTAACTACACTTAAGTGTCCTTTTATTTCATTAATACATCAGCAAGTAAAGTTTTTAAAAATATATCATTTAAAAAAAAAAAAACATGTACACAAGTTCTTTTTGAGAAGGGATAAAAGAATGACAATAACGACAACTGCACCTCAGCACACATTTGATCTGATCTTTGCTAAAAGCAAAGATTTTCCTGTGCAACTTTTTGTAAATTATGCCTGACGTTATAGAAGGAGATTGGAAACAGACACATAAATATAAATGTTATTTGCTGTAGCTGCAGTGCAGTCAAATGGACTTCATTAAGGGTATTGGAAAGCTGTTTAGTTCTTTTGATATACGCTATATCTGACTGTATCAAAATCCATCATTATAGAAGAATAGGGTTGCAAAGGGGTGGAACATTTCTGGTAAATTTCCGGAAACTTTCCAAAAATCCCTGAAATATTCAAAAATAATCCTGGAATATTTCCCAAATTTACTGGAAATTAAACACCTTTTTGCAACCCTATAGAAGAATGAAACTGAGATGGTTGAAAACTCAAAAGGACACATTTGTCTGAAATATATTTATCAGTTTACCAGCAGCAGGCAATTCAGCACACCTCGTGTTAATTGACAACAAATACATCAGGGTTATTATTTGTGGCCTGAATATCACAAAGCATTTACGAGCGCGCTCTTCTTATTGTTAGCATCCTTTCGAAATGTCAGTGAGATTGGAGATTTGGGTTCTGTCTCACTCACTGTGAAATCACTCTAAAGATCAGGGACGATGATCATTTTGATACAGTACAATCAGACTAGTAATTCACCACAAATGAATATGAAGTTGATCTTGAGCTATTATTGGAATATTTAGCTCTGTACATTCAGTCTGGCTTTTTTCGGGCTTCGTGTAGATTAGGCACAATGGAGAACTTCACACTTACAGTCGGTTTGACGTGCTTTCTGTCTTTCTGTCTGCAGGGATCGCGCTGGGAGTGCTGGTGCGGGACTACACCTCTCTGTCGCAGCTGGAGAAGCAGTACTTTGGCTTCCCGGGAGAAATCCTGATGAGAATGCTAAAGCTGGTCATCCTGCCTCTCATCGTCTCCAGCATGATAACAGGTATCGCTCTCTCTTCAGCCCATGACAGTATCTCCATTTATGACTCGCAGTGAAAATTCAGAGGTTGTAAATGTGGCTTTTATGTTACCAGTGTCCCAGGGCCACCTTCAGGGATGAGGGTTCACCCATAAAAAACTAATCGCAGCCCTGCCAGGGTCTTCTGTCTTTTTCAATCTCACAGAATGTCAGAATCACCCACTAGCTATAATTACAAAACACATTATATTATATTATATTATATTATATTATATTTGAAAATTGTCATTAATATGTGGAACATTAGTCATACCTGTTTATGATTCTCAAACATTTCTGTCAGCCAAGGAGGGTTATTTAAAAAAAAACATGTTTATTACTTAAAATAAACAATAACATTTAAATAAAATAAAATATGGAAAAAAAAAAACTTTATTTCAGTAGTTTCCAAGGATAATTTTTTATTTTTTTTTTGGTTTATTTTAACTTGAGGTACTAAAATAACTAAAACTAAATAAACTAAAGCTAAAAAAAATAAATAATAATAAATAATATTAATAAATTACAAAAAAATTAATAATAAAAAATATATACCATATAGACATTTATTTTAAAAAAGTAATAAAAAATGACAAAAACGCACAAAATACTAAAACTTTATCTAAAATTAAAGTCAAAACAGAAAATTTAAACAGAAATATAACTATAATAGGGTGCAGCGAGGCTAAAGGCACACCTTAAGTAAAATGTGCTTTTCACTAGTGTATGACTGCAGAAAAAATATAAATGTTTTTATTGAGCGTCGATGGAGTAACAGATTTTGTGTGAAAATAAATCATAAAAGCGGTTTGTTTTGTTTAAAAATCGTATAAATGTACGAGGTGGCAAGGTGGGCTTTTTACCCCACACACAGGGTAAAAGGCACAAAGTATTTATACAAATACTTTGTTCAAAACAATCACTTTAGCAAAGTTTGTACAACAAATATACAGTAAAAAAAAAAATACAGAAACAAAATTATTTAAAAAAGTAAAGGTTCTGAACATATTCAAGGAGATCTCATAATAATTTAGCAACAATAAATATGATACTTTATTATATGATATGATTAATATCGTATTTTTAAATATGATGGTTTAATTATAAATATGGTGATTATCTCTAAGGTTGACACCCAAATTAATAGGCGTATATAATATTTACCATCTGAGTCTAGCCATGTCATGTCAACAAATGGAAAAGTCAGCCAGCTATTTATTATCATGTTAATTATTGTGCCTTTAATTAATTATTGTGCTTTTTACCACAAATACCATACTTTCAAATTCTTCCGTTATTAAAAAAACGTTGCTTTGACTCCCTTGAACAAAACTGAAAAACATTAACAAGTCCTTTGTCTCAAAATATAGTCAACAATTTGATCAATTCTCATTTGCTATATAAATCTACAGCATTTAATATCATTAAATATGAAATCAAAATGCAGAATCAATTTTGCTGTTCGTGATCAGTCAAGGATCAGCCAAATTTTCACGTGCAAAGTCAAACGCAGTTGTTAAGAAAAGTGCCGAGGTGAATTCTGTGACATCTAGTGTTTTAAAGGAGAACAAAGTCAAATTTGAGCCCCATTAACTTAAAATATTTATTTACTTAAAGTACCACCTTATAGATTTTAAGTTAATATTTCTATAATTTAACAAACCATTCACATGTTCTGGGTTCTTTGATGGTTGATGGTTAATGGTTATATTCAGGTAAAAACTCAACATATTTTAACTTTTTTTTTAGTAAATAGTTTATTTTAATTGTTTTTATTTCAAAACATTGTTTATATTTTAATTTTACATTTTGTGATTTAAAGTGCCCCTATTATGGGTTCTGAAAGGTTCATATTTTGGTTTTGGGAGTTACCAACAGGTTGACATGCATGCAAGGTCAAAAAACACGTTCATTGTCTTATAATATGCATTTATTTGTACCTTACTTGCTCAACGACTCCCAAACGATTTGCTCAAATATTAATTTTTCCAAACCCACCTTTGCGTGACGCTAATCTGCGGTGATTGGTCGATTGGTCTCATTTTAATTTCATCTCGCCTGTAATGCCTGATAAAGCAGCGTTTGTGAGCGCAGTGCTGCTTTGTGTACAGCGTTACCGGGGAAACCACTATTTTTGCTCCAAAAGCAGCACCTAGTGGCAAAGAATGATTTTGCATTTTCATTCAGACCAACCCGAAAAGCCCAGCAAGTGGGCGGGGAATATGCTAATGTTTCATGTTGACATCAACATGAAACGGCTTGGGATTCGTTTTAAAAACGACTCGTTTCAATGATTCAGAGTCGACTCTTTCTTTTGAGAGACAATAACTTTATACACGGTGCACTTTCAGATTTAAAACTTTGCAGGATGTTTTCATTCACTTAGAGCTGTGTTACACACTGCATGAAAGGTCATTTTCAAAAATCCATAATAGGGGCACTTTAATTAATTATTAGCTTTTTATCTTCTCACAACCCCCCTGTAGTTTCCTCATGAATCCTCAGGGGTTCATAAACTCCTATTTAGAAAACGCTGGCATAGTTTAGCCAAATATTTTATTGCCGAAATATGTACAGTATACAGTGCCGTCCCAAAGGATGAAATGCACTCAGTGTCTAAGTTTTGGTCAATATCCTTATCATTTCTTGGCATAAAGGCGATATCACTGAAGACCAGCAATAATAATTTCATTTTGATTACATACTGTAATAATGGCAGTATATACACGTCACAGTCATATGTGCTCCTTTGGCAGCTGTGATGCTTGATTACTGGATTAAATTGGCCCCGGTTTATTTATCTGCTTAAGCTTAGAATGTAATAGACCAATCAGAACACAGTTTAGAGCTCATTTATAAATAGCTATAGTATTTTTCTAGGTTCTCAATTCATTGTTTTAATGTTTTCAAACTTTGTGTCGTCCCTTATCAGTGCAAATCATCTCAAAAAGACAAGGATTTATGCTGCTGATAATGTCTGAAACCTCACGTCTAGGGCACTTCCAAACTTTTGGAGGGAAACTGTAGCTACAGAGCTTTTTTTGTTGCAGTGCAACTTGCATTGGTTAACGTTCTTTGTTGCCATTGTTAAGTGTGTCAAGTGTGTTCTCTGGAGAATGAATAAGTAGGCATAACTTCTGGTCTTGTTTGTGAAGGAGTGGCAGCGCTGGACTCCGAGGTGTCGGGCAGGATCGGTCTGCGTGCAGTGGTTTATTACCTCTCCACTACCATCATCGCTGTCATTCTTGGTGAGTCACGTAAGAATCACATCAATAAACTTAAAAGACATAAATTGGGATTGTTTAACAATGATGTTGTGCTTAAAAGGAATCGTTCTTGTGATGACGATTAAACCCGGGGTGTCTCAGAGTGCTGATAATATCGAGAGAGCAGGAAGCACTCCGAATGTGACCACTGTTGACACCTTACTGGACCTGGTTAGGTAAAAATTGCACACCTTGGTCTACCTATGTTGTAAGAAAGATAATATACAAATATGCATAATATGCATTCATAATATGCATACTTGAACACTTAAGGAATGCGTGATATTCATTGCAATAAATAACAAACTTGGGCAATGACCATTTTTGGTATGGCTTATATGTCCTGATCGCATAAAATAACATATAGCGTAGCGTAGCGTAGCGTAGCGTAACGTAACGTAACGTAACGTAAAATAACATAACATAACATAACATAACATAATTTGGCCACACTTTAGTTTGGGGACCAGTTCTCACTATTAACTATGACTTTTTCATCAATAAACTCCTAATTTGCTGCTTATTAATAGTTAGTTAGGTAGTTGTTAAGTTTAGGTATGGGGTAGAATTAAGGGATCTAAAATATGCTCATGCAGAATATGTGCTTTAAAAGTACTAATAAACAGCCAATATGCTAGTAATATGCATGTTAGTGAACTAGTTAATAGTGAGAATTGGTCCCTATATTAAAGTGTTACCTATAATATGATTATGAATTTATATCAAGCACTTTAAACAAGTGGTTTGTTTATCTAATTTCTTCATAGGAATATGTTTCCTGAAAATCTTGTGCAAGCCTGTTTTCAGCAGGTAAAATATAATATGTTTTAACTTATATTAAGGCATGCAGATATAATATTTTGTTTCAATAAACATCATCTGTGTTTTAGTATAAGACGCAGCACAAAGAGATTGAACCATCGAAAACCAACATAAGCACAAGTAATATGACTACATTTCCACCGTTCACCACAATTATTTCAACAGTTGCACAGGTGAGAGAAAGACTGAAAAATGAATGGAGAATGTATGATGGAGAATGTATTGATTTTTGGCTTCTTTATTCCATAGAATTTGACCAAAGACTACAAGATTGTGGGCTCATATTCAGATGGCATTAATGTACTTGGTCTGATCGTATTCTGTGTGACTTTCGGCCTGGTCATCGGCAAGATGGGAGAAAGGGGTCAAATCCTGCTCGAGTTCTTTGATGCTCTGAATGAGGCAACCATGAGACTCGTTCAGATTATTATGTGGTTAGTTCTGACACCTTACAAGCAGGAATCATTATTTATAATCATCACTATTATCGCTCATACTCAGACTTGAGGATGGGCTGCATTGACTTGGGTCAGTAAGAAACCACCCAGAACACCCTAGCAACCACATTGCAACTTCCTAGCAACCACCCAGAATACCATCGAAACCACATAGCAACCACACAGAACACCCTAGAAACCACATTGCAACTTCTTAGCAACCACCCAGAAAACTCTCAATACCATAGTAACACCCCAGCAACCTCCCAGAAAACGCTAGAAACCACATAGCAACCACATTGGAACTCCATAGCTACCACATAGCAACTCCCTAGCACCCACCCAAAACACCCTAGAAACCACAAAGCAATTCCCTAGCAACCAACCAGAATAGAAACCACATTAGCTACAACTGAGAACTCCCTAGCAACCACCCAGAGTACCTTAGAAACTGCATAGCAACCACCTAGAACTCCATAGCTAGTCCCTAGAAACCACCCTAGCATTCTCTAGGAATTAGTGTTAATTTAGTTAACGAACACTATGGCGAAAATATTTGTTGACAAGCTTTTTTCCCATGACTAAAATGAGACGATGACGAGACGACAATCAGGTCAATAGACGATAACTGTGACTATATCAACATGCAATATCGTTGACGATAAAAGACGAGACTAAAATGTATTTAAAAAAATAAAAACTATACCAAAATCTCTTTTTATTTTCGTCAAAAAAAAGGAGACAAAATATTATTGCGAACTGCTATACATGCCTCTACTACTTTAATGTGTGCGGTTGCCAGATATCAAGAGTTCAAATACCCAAATCACGGCTTCTCTGTTAAAAGGATATGTTTTCTGCCCCGGTGGTTTGCTTAATTTTTGCAATCTGGCAACCATGAGCACGCGCTCCCTCTTCATCGCTGTAGCGCTGACGATGATCTGAAAACTCAGACAAACAAGTAAGCTGAAGTTTATTGATCTCCATGTGAGATGTTCATCTTAAATGAATTCTTGTTTGGGATTGTGGTTGCTGAATAAATGCACTTTCTCAACCGCTGTTGTTTTAATAGAGGAACATTGTTGCAATTTGGAATTATTGGAATTACTATTAGGAATTTATATAATATTAGTTATAATATTAGAATAAACAGACGATATCGTTCGCTGTTGTGGACGCTAATATCGTTATCTTTATAGTTATCGTTCTTGGTGTGAACGGGCCTTAAGACTAATTTAGACTAATTAAAATTAATTTTAAGACTAATTTAAAAGACTAAGACTAAGACTAAATTAAAAATGGCTGACAAATTTAACACTACTAACAGAGCAACCACTCAGATTACCCTAGAAACTGCATAGCAACAACCCAGAAAAGCCTAGAAACCACATAGCAATTCCTTAGCAACCATTCGGAATACTCTAGAACAGGGATCCTCAAATCTGGCCCACGAGATCCACTTTCCTGCAGAGTTTAGCTCTAACCCTAATCAAACACACCTGAGAATGCTAATCAATGTCTTCAGGATCATTAGAAAATCACAGGTAGATGAGTTTGATCAGGGTTGGAGCTAAACTCTGCAGCGCATTGGCCCTCCAGGGCAAGATTTGAGGAACCCTGCTCTAGAAACTGCATAACAGCCATCTAGCAATCACTCTGAATACCCTAGAAATGGTATTGCAACCATTTAGCAACACCCTAGAAACTGTATAGCAACCACCTAGAACTCCCTGGCCAGCACTTAGCAATTCTCTCCCCACCTCCCAAAATACCCTAGAAATCACATAGCAACCACAGAAAATACCCTCGAAACCACATAGCAACCATCTAGCAACCACTCTGAATACCCTAGAAACCACATAGCAGTTCCTTAGCAACCATTTCAGAAAACCTTTGAAACTACGTAGATACACCCTAGCAACCACCCACAGGGAGCACCACTCACTTTTTCTTTAGAAAATAGAAACCTCTCATTTTTATTACAGTTATGCATTTGATAAAAAGATGTTGGAAGATACATCAGCCTATAAATGAAAAGCTTCTTGGAATTATGAGTAATATTGACTATAAATGTAATGATACTTAATGAATTTCCTCTGGCAGTTACATGCCCGTTGGCATCTTGTTCCTGATTGCTGCCAAGATCATGGAGGTGGATGACTGGGAAATCTTCAGGAAGATGGGCCTGTACATGGTGACGGTGCTCAGCGGGTGAACAAGCTTCTTTAATGTTCTCTTGTTGATTAGCAGAGGAGCAGATTTACTGTCGGCTCTGTTCACAGACAGATAAGAGCCACAGACATTTAAAACTGCTCAAGCTGCAGTTGTGCTTATAATACATTTCATAAACTCCACATTTCCACTAATTTGAGTGATATAGGCGACCGAACAACAGTCAGGAGATTCTATAGCTGTATGCACTCATGTGGAATGAACCGAAAGGACGTGTTTGGGGTTGCACACTGCTGAGTCAAACAGAAAAACTGTAGCTCTTCAGACTACAGAGGATATAAATCCAAGTGACCTTGGCAAAAATACTGCATGCTTTTAACTCTTTCCCCGCCATTGACAGAATTTTACGTCATTTACAGGACAACGAGTCCACCCCATGGACGGAAATGTCCGGCTTTCTGTGTGTTCACTGATTTATGTAGGAGGCACTATTACACATCTTCTGAAAGAGTATTGAATATCTGGATCAAAACATGGTGAAGAAGAAGTAGAAACAAACGAGCACGTATGTAAGCAGAAGCATATGTGACCCTGGACCACAAAACCAGTCATAAGGGCCAGTTTTTTTAAAATTGAGATTTATACAAATAAGCTTTTCATTGATGTATGGTTTGTTATGATAGGACAATATTTGGCCGACATACAACTATTTGAAAATCTGGAATCTGAAGGTGCAAAAAAAAAAAATCGAAAATATTGAGAAAATCGCCTTTAAAGTTGTCCAGATGAAGTTCTTAGCAATGCATATTACTAATGAATGATAATAAATTTTTGATATATTTACGGTAGGAAATTTACAAAATATCTTCATGGAACATGATCTTTACTTAATATCCTAATGATTTTTGGCATAAAAGAAAAATCAATAATTTTGACACATACAATGT